GAGAACACAACTTCCTGAGCAGTTCTACACAAATCCCACTTTGGGTTTTTAATTTGCCATATTGATGTTTTGCAGGTTTGAAGACTGAGATGCCCCTTATGAGAAACATTCCTGAAGGTGCACACTTTGGGCCTTAGCCATAGCCACTCCACGTGCAGAATTCCTGCTGAAATAAACTAGAGCGCAGCTACGGGGTTGTGTCCCAGTGCGGTGCAACTTAAGGAGCAGACAGGGAAGGGTTAAAGGAAGCAAAAATTTGAAGAAGGAGTTTTGGACCAAACCACAGCAACAAAGAATTTCTAAATCTATCAGAGATATTTGTATTTTCATGGTACCTGGAGCAGCCCAACACACATCCATGGCTCTGTCTTGTTTTCGTGACATGCAGTCTTATTTATATAATCTTTTCCTTCTTGTGCATTTAAGACTTAAGCATTGATGAAGCACAATGGTCATCTATTGGACCACAGCATCAGCTAGTCCAACAATTTTCAAACTATGGTCCATGGAGCATTTTGCAGGCAGTCCATGGAGAGCTAACCGTTACATGATGCTGACTCTCACTCTAGTTTCAAACTGTTAAATCACAGTGAAAGACAGCTCTGGGTCTCCGAGAGAGGGCAGGATCCCACAGCTTGGGCTCCAGTCTGAGCCTGAACATCTACACAGCAATTTTCAGTCCTGCAGCCCTAGCCCTGCGAGCCCATATCAGCTGAGCTGGGCCAGTCGCGGCTGTGTTGTGGTTCTTTTATTCCAGACCAATTAAATATCATTCCTTCAAGGCTGCATTTTCAGAGCACCATATATGTAACTTTTCCTGACATCCAGGTACATGCAAGAAAAGACAAACTTTGCTGAGAAGGTAGAGTAAATCTTAGAAGGAAATACCTGTTCATGCAGTAAGGAAATGCCATGAGGATAAGTTGAAAATGAGTAAAGAATAAAAATAAATATCTTCAACTAGCTTACCTTTTTTTCTTTTGGTATTGTATGATCAAAACTGCAACTATTCCACCTTGAAGAAAAACAAAAAAAACAGGAATCAGGCAATGAAGTTATATTTTATTTAACATTTTGGTAAACACAGCTAGCAAACTTCACAGATAAGTAGTATGGAAAAGTCTCTTGTATCTCAGATCACAAATCACGAGAAGCCTTTACTTATCCAGAAAATGGTTCTGATGTTGGATCTCCCAATTTAATGTGTCTATACACTGCTGAATGTTTAGATTTTTAGCTCACTTGGAATGTTTAGTATTCAATCTACTTAACATTCAAGATATTCAAGCTTTCCATCATCTGTTTCCCTTCAAGCACCTCCAAGCTGTTTAAGGAATTTTCTCAACCAAATAGTCATAGGATATATTCTAATGTCCAAGGCTTAGTTTGGCTTATTTAATTTCTTCCTTGACTGATGAAATATTTAAAAAGAATAAATAAAAAATAGAAAATGTATCCCTCTGCATGTGTCAGATTCTCTCAATCTTGAACTTGAAATGAAAACCTCTAATCAGACTTGGCTAGCAAAAAATACATTGAAATTCTGCTATTGAGATTTCAGCACAGTTTTCCCTGATTAGCACACAGGGGCTGTTACATCTTAGAACCATTCAACAGGAATACAGACTGCACAGTAGTTTGGGTTTGCATATTCTCCGTCCACGTGGATCGGGAAAACTGCTAGAAACCTGCTTGTAACAGCCGCCTCTAGCATTGCTGTGCCCCAAACACACAGGGACCGTACCCGCTGCTTGACAAAGCTGCTCTATGGCTCCAATTTAACAAGTCACTTAAACACAAACTTAAAGCACATACTTAATTCTGATTGACTTCAGTGGGATTTATACATACGCTTAAGTGCTTTGACGAATTGGGGCCTATACAGTGAAAAAATAGTTCACAAAGGTGAAGCTACTACAGCCTTTGTGGGAATTCTTTGGGAAAAGGTTGCACGTGTGTTCAGAATTTGCTAGCGTGATGACAAAACACCCATGCTCTGGTAAGTGGAGCCCTTGAAGACTGACTAACTAAATGGTGGGAACTTCATTTATATAAGTAACAATTTTCTTATTCCCACGATGCTAGACTGTCAAATCCAACCTAGGAAGGGCTTGCTTGGATCTCATGACAATTTCCCTTCCTGGCTTCTATTCTTTCCATTGTTGGTGAGCACCAGACAAACACACGGTCCTAAGTGTGGAGGAAGTATTCTCACCCAAGACAGAATTACAGAAGTGAAACTTTTCTTGAGGGAGCAGGGGGGAAATGAGATTTTTCACTCCCTTTTCGTTCCCCAATATTGTGCACACATATTTAAGACAGAATCACAGCAGGTTTCTTAGCTCAGGAAAATATTGTGAATAAATTACAAACCTACAGACAGAGAAAATAACTAAGAGTATTAATACAGGCGTCTCTCCAGGGAACGGCAGTGCAATCTCAATCATGGGCATAGATTTTACATGGAACCCAAGGACAAAAAGTTAGTCAGTGGCAGAGAAATCCAAGAATCCTAAATCTAAGGACCTTTAGGAGTTAAGCAGGGGGCGGGAAATGAGACAGAGGAAGTGCAATACTCAAATAGCCTGGATTGTGGACCTCAAAACACAGTCATAGCTTTAGTGTATCAAATTATTTTTTCACTATTAAGTTACTTACAAATGGCGATGCAGACGATGATGGCGATGCCGGCGATGATGGCGATGATGGCGATGCCGGCGATGATGGCGATGCCGGCGATGCTAAGGCCGATGCCGGCGATGCCAAAGGGTGTATCAATGCCAGGCCCTAAAGAGAACAAAAATGTGAGCTAAAATATGAATCCATATTCATGTCAATAACCTACAGGAACTCATCCACAATCCATGCATATGAAGCCTCACTTAGTACCCAAGATTATACCAGAGATGAGTGAAAAATCAATGGAGTATAATAAAAATCTACATTATAAAATAAATAATCATTAGCTACTGGAAACCATGATCTGAGCCCTCGAGAACTTCCCAAAGAAGAAAAGCAGCTTTGCAAGGGATTGCATACATACATATCTTCTAATGCAGGCAGGAAAGCGATTGCAAAAATGGAAGAACCAATCTCAGTTTAAAGGCTTTCTACAATATAAACCAAGGGATGTTTACTATTCTCTTACACATGCTTCTAGGCTCTCATTTTCCAAGCCTGCACTGGCCATCCATGTGTTTGCCAAAACACTGAGTAAGCACAGAATCATTACATGTGGGCTGTCTAGATTGGGTATCATGCCTGGTTTCTTGGGCTAAGGGGCTGTTTAACGGTGATGCAGATATTTGTTGCATCTTCTTGTTAATCTGGATTTTGAGTTCTTTAGGGCAGTAGTTTTCAATTTTTTTTTCTGGCGACCCAGTTGAGGAAAATTGTTGATGTCCGTGACCTAACAGAGCTTGGGATGAGGGGTTTGGGGTGTGGGAGGGACTCAGGGCGGGACAGAGGGGCTGGTGTGTGGGGGTGAGGGCTGCAGGGTGGGGCCAGGAATGAGGGGTTCAGGGTGAGGGAACAGGCTCTGGGCTGGGGCATGGAGTTGGGGTGCGGAAGGGGGTCAGGGCTCTGGGCTGGGAGAACATGCTCTGGGCTGGGGATGAGGGGTTTGGGGTGCAGGAATGAGCTCAGGGTTGGGGGGGGGTCAGGGCTGGGGCAGGGAATTGGGGCATGGGGTTGGGGCACAGGCTTCCCTCGGTCAGCTCCCTGTCAGTGGTTTATGCCTGTTCTGGCACCGTGGACCGTGCTGCACCCTGGAAGTGGCCACCTCACAGGGTCCTAGAACTCCTAGTATGATAAATGGAGTGTACATATTCACTTGTAACCATATTGTTCATCATAACTGTAGGTGTAGGACTCAGGTTTACCTAATGGCTTTAGTGTTGGCAGAAACACACAATTTGGGTTCTTTTTTGTTGTTCCTGTATAAGTAAAGCTAAATGAAAAACATTTCAAAAACCAGGCAGGAAACTGGCTAATAGAGAAAAAAGAGTTAGAGGGGGGAAAACGCACAGAAAGAAATCTAGCTGATTTAGAAACAAATGTATAGTTGCGGTCTCCCTAAGTTACTGACTAGAAGGGAATTTTTATTTAATTTCTTCATTTTTGGCAGAAATTCAATGCGATTCCAATCTCATGCACATAACTCAGCCACATGGATCAGCAACGTTAACGGGTTCCTTAGTGTGATAGATTTGAAAAACAATTGAAAGGATGTGGCCAGCTCCAGTTCTGAAGCTCCCAACAGCCAGGCTTCCCTGCTCACCACACACACTGCGCTCCCCAGTCTAACAGCTCAAGTGTTTCTCTCTCCCCTCAGTACCTCACCTTCCCCTTCAGGTACAGTAGAGTTGCCAGCTGTGTTCAGTGCAGAACCTGTACAGAAAAGAAAGTTTTATAAAATACTTGACGTGCTCTCACCACAACTGACTATTTTAAATACCCAAAAGCCGGCAGAGATTCCAGGCACGTAAAGACATCAACACCCATAAATAGACTGGAGTGAAGTTCATCTTGCCAAGCAGAGGACAAAAGATATTGAATTTTAAAGAATCAATTCCACAAATGCTAACATTGTCTCCCCAAAATATTTGAAGAAACCCCCCCAAGCATGCCAGTGAAAGCACTGTCAGGCTCAATAACTGCTAGAGTCAACCCCCTCCTGGTGTTTTACCCACTTGATTTTCTCTAATATTTCGCTCTGTTGGGTATACCTTCAAGTCTGCACAAAGCAGAAGATCCACATGCATTAGGTGCATTACCCCTATCGTCATTCCAAGAACTAATTCTCTCAGCTGTAAATTATCTACTCCTGAATTCTCATCCTTGGGATAACCGTATGGATTTGGGGACTAACTGTCTTTGTCCCAGTTAAATCTACACCAAAGTAAGAGAGTTTGTGCCACTGAAATGATCAGAGCTTGGATGCCATAGAGTGATAGAAGATTTTCACACACCAGCCCCTACTGCAGCCACTAGTGTTGTTATTAGTTGTGCTGCAATAGCGCGTGAGGGCTCAAGTCATGATTCAGGGCCCCACTGTGCTAAGCGCTGTAGAACCACACAACAAAAAGGAGGTCCTTGCCCCCATCGCTCTCATCAGAGCTGCCATCAATCAGCACGGACAATAATATTCCTTACCCACAGTATTGGCCACATCACTCTCCTTTTGAAAGGAATCAGAGGAAAGGGTCAAGGTCAGAGCACTGTGGGAATCCTTTGGAAAGTGGAAGCGGGAGAAGGACCAACCAAAAGGCTTTGATAACCAAAAGAAATGGTCCAGGAACAATGAGAGAGGTAGGAAAACCAGGAGAGCATGGAGTGTGCAAATGAACAACGAGCTCTCTGTCAAGTTTGTAGGCAAGCAATAATAGCAGCGTGAATAGCAGAATTATAGAAATTAAATGACTTTCACACTGTACATTTCATTTTTATTCAAGTGGAAATTTGAACCCAAAACTCTAGACTTTAAGCAAATCCAAGTTCTTCCAATTTACCTGAGGAAGTACCAGCTACTTCTCCTCCTTTGGGGGGGACAGTTGTGGGTTTGTCCTGGGTAATTATGTCTAAGGCAAAAAGAAGAGGAAAAAGCAGTTATGAACATTACATCAGTCTCCCATCACCAGCTGGCCACTCAGATGTGAAAGGCTCAATGTGGTGTCTCTTGCTGCCACCATGAGTTACAAACTGCCAAAATCTGTCATTTCCCTTCAGTTTTACTCATCAAAACTTCCTACAGGGACTTCTAAAACCCCTGAACATGCTGTTCTCACTGAGCATTC